CTATATTTCTTTTTTTAATACCCAATCATCAATTAAATCGATACATTCTGAAGTATCTATATTTTGTTGTACATTTCCAACTTCTTTAACAATGCCTTTTACAATCGCATCCAAAATAATCTCGCGTTCTGCTAATTGAAGATCATTTTTTACTATATAATTACTTCTTGATGATATTTCAGCTGTTGATTCTGATTCTAATAATGGTAAAGAATAGTTATTATTCCTATTAATTTTGCTGTTTTTATTTTTTTCTATAAGATTGTATTTTTTCCCACCTATTATTCGCCAAATTGAAGTTTCTATACCATCAAAAAATATAGTTGTTGATAGATTATTATTATTATTATTATCGTTGATATTGTTGGAATAATGCAAGAGCGCGGTAATAAATGTGTTCAAAAATTCGGATAAATGTGTTTTGTTATTTAAGCTTGAGAACAATAGTTCAAAAGTGGTTTTGGGATGTATCAGATTTTGAGGTAGCCGTCGAAAAAGAGATAATGTAGAATAAGGATCAGAATAATCATTATTTCCGTATGTCGGTGAAGAGATCGCTCGCATGAATGTATTTGATAATGACACATCTATTCGAACATTTCGTGCCTTCTTCATGAATACACCTAACTTTTCATTGATTTGTTTAAGATTATAACGAAGCTGATGCCGATGCTCACCCTCTTCTTGTTGATAGTCTTTTGCCATACAATAATCGAACAACTCAATAATCGTAGACTTATCACCAACTCGACCTAATGCTAGTATTATAGCTTTGAATAAATCTTTTGAAACGTTTTGCACAATTGATTCCTCTTCATTCAATTTATTCAAAAGTTGCCAAACAATTTTGCGTTCCGAATCTTTGTAATGTCGTATTTCTTGGTTCGAACTTTTTTTATTAGAAATAGGCGTCGAAAATGACGATGATGTAAGAAGACTTTCAACAGGATTATCTACAGTAGAATGTCCCAATGCATTTAGAAAAAGTATATAGCCACTTTTCTTTGGTTCAAAATTATTGTACGCCATATTTTCGAATAATCGTATTCCTCTATCGAGAAGCTTGTATTTAGCACATCTTTCAAAAAGTAAATTATAAATATAAGCAGACTTTTTATCATCGGGCAACAAATATCTTTCAAATCTCAAGAAGTAATCAAGACATAATGAAAACATCGCTTCAATTCGCTCTGAATGATCATTTTCAAGATTTACTTTCTCGTCAATTAATCGCAAACAAGCCTTGACTAATTCCGAATGAACATTTTGGTTACGCTGCAATTCATAATCGATCACCATCTTCCAAACAGCCTCAATTTCCATAAATGATTTTGTATGTTGTAAAAATATTTCTATTGTACGCCCATTTGGTCTCAACTCTGGCGCCTGCATCAAAGTTTTGATAATATCGATTTTATCCTTCGAGCTGCGTAAAGATTTTGAACTACTCAATATTGATTCTAATAATACATTCACAATAGCGATTGTTGGTTTTTTTTGTTTCATTAATATTTCTTGAAGATAAAAGAATGCGAGATCAGGTTTTCCGGATTTAGCATAAGTCGTCAATAATATTTCCGATGTTTTCGTGTCAGCTTTTATTTTGTACAATTCCATTGTATCGATCACTAGAAATAACAATTAGGTCTATTTATCCGTTAATTAATTAAGTGATTAATTAATAATTACTGACTTACCATTTCTTATTTCACCGAGCATTTTATCACGCCCAAAAATAAATAGAGCAGTGTTCCAAACTTTAATCACATGAGCAGAAGGGTAGCGGAAATTTTGTTGTGGTTGGCCATCATCACCATAAATAATACGTTGAATGAATCGGGAGAAAATCAAATACATAAAATGTTTATGGCCTGCTATCACGCATCGAATTAGCAGTTTCGAAACCAAAGCAGAATAAAAATCATGCATATAATAATTGTCGTGAAGTTTATCAAACAGTAGTTTTGACATTAATTTGTAGCTATTGGCCTTATCTTTTTCGTTATTTATTGTGATGAAGATTGTATTCAATTCTGATTCTAATAAATTAAATGCCTTAAAAATGATTGAATTCAATATTTTTATGTTAAAGAAAGAAGAAAATGTATAAGTAAAAAACAAACCTTACTTGTGCGGCCACGCTATCCGATTTGTTTTTGATGGTTTTTTCCGATTCTTTTTCTTCATCAAAAATTGAATTCATTGATGAAGAAGCTATAGTTTGATTATTTGGTTGGAAACTTCCAATTACGTTAATATTAACGCTACTGTTACTGGTAGTAATGTATCTCAAAGAATTTTCCTTTGTTGTTGCAGTTAGCATTTTTCTCATAACTCGAGAATTAATATTAAAGCTACATTTCCGACATAAAAGAAACGTCGTTATCATGTTCGCGTATATTACATTTTTTTTATAGCAACTAGAATATTTTTTCCTATTATTCGCGAGTTGATATAGATTGCAAGGCGTTCCTCCTTTAATTGACCATAGACGCATTTTTGTTCAAAATTACGCGATTTTTTTCTGGTGAGTCACACAACGTGAATCAAATTATTTTATCCGTTGAACTTCGACAAAAATACAGTGGCTCGAACACGGAAAGCTCTAGTGCCTCTAACATCGACTAAATGTACCGGTTCCTATACTCATTTTAAAGCTAATAACCTAGAATGACTAAAAAAAGCCTAAAAATATATTAGTATTTCCATTCTAAAGAAATTGAGTGATCTTTTAATTAGTGAAATTTTAACTCCAAATAGTTTTGTTATCAAGGAGGAATGTAATGAGAACTATCTACATACCAATTTTCAGCTAAATTGGTACCTGATTCGTTTACGAAGTACCAAGTAAAAACAATTCAACTATCTCTTTCTTTAGCATTAATTTGGTACTTTGGGATTTAATAACTAAACGAATTTGGTACCAATTTAGCTGAAAATTTGCATTAATTTGGTATCTAATAACTAAACGAATTTGGTACTAAATTAGCTGAACATTGGTATGTAGATAGTTCTCGCTAGGGATATCAAACACAATAACATCAGCAAAATTTCAAAGTATAATGATATCAATCCATTTAAGGAAGATTTATTTTGTCATTATTATAGAAAACAACAGAAAAAAAAGAATAGGAGATTAGACTGGATCAGATTTAAACATTTGCCAAATTCTTGAATAGAAACGGCTATGACACTATAAATAAGTGATAATTAAATGGATATTGAAAATATGTATCGGTGGTAATTTCCGCGCATAGCATTAATTACTTGCATTTCTTAATGAACATTTTAGATGATGAATCTAAATCAGGTAAGGAAAACATAAAAATAAATGTATCGAAGTTCTTGCAAGAACAATTGATATCCCTTAAGACTGTTGGTAATTAATAATAGGCTTAATATTCACCAAAAAGGTGTGGGAAGAACCGAGGTAATCACATTTTTCAGGAATACCTAATCAATTCAATATTTTATACAAACAGATCATGAATCGTGGTTGCCGCACGGGATGCAGTTCAAAATGTGGAATTAGCCGTCTGAGTATATTGAGCCACCTATACAATCACTAATCAATAAATGAATGCTGTTAAATCGCCGCATATGACAGGGTCTAGTAATAGTTTAAGACAAACTTTTCATTAACATGCAACGAGGATTGCATTGATGTGAGCTAAAGAAAAGTCTCCTAATTTGAACTCCAACAAAATAAAAATGATGAGATTAACCTAAGAATCGAGATGGATATTTTTATCTGGTAGGGTAGAAATAATAAATAATTGAAAGAGAGGATGATTTAATATTGTTGTAAGTGTGGATTGTGGCGGTCATATTGATAATAATAAGTTAACTCCCGCAAATGGAATGCAGTGAGAATTCAATAGTCTATCGGTATGATCACATTTTTCTGTGACCTTTTTTATTAGCTATTCTCTTTATAAACACAACTTGCTTATAATTGAATCACAAACCTCGTGACCACGTAATAATTTATGGTGATCATCTTTTTCCAAAAATATTAAGTTTTTGTGAGGGTTAATTTTGTTTTTAAAGAGAGAAATTTTCTAACCTCAAAAGGTATTTTCTAAATTGTTCTTGAAACCGTGCCGTTACAATACAAAGAAAATCCAAACCCATCAACTGCTCTACTATAAACTTACAAGGAAGATTATGATAAACTATGTACATTTAACTTATCCGAAAATGTTCCAACTTTTCAATCAAATAAAATCATTTATCGACGCAATTGCGTAATATAAAAAGGGGAAAAAGGATTATCTTTCATTCTTCTTCGATCCCACCTCCTAAACTACCATTAATATTAATAATACTAGTAATAGTATTATTGTTTAAAGAAGCAGCACTAACCACTACATCCCTATTGGCTTCACCCAAAAAACTCACGCCCTTGTAAAGAAACGCGTCGAACTCGTTATCTGATTGATGTTGCGAGCTTGTTTGGCTTGTCGATAAATACGTTTTTAAACGTTCCGTTTCATCATCAATACCTCCATACTCCGAGTTATTATTATGCGAGACAGGAGATGAGCCTCCTGCAAGTGTTGATCTTCGCGATGAGGGTGAAGAAAGTGATGAAGCCGAAGATGGAATTGCAGTCGCGGTTGTCGGTGTTACTGAAGTAGATGAGGCGGCGGAAAGGGCGGAAAGATCTGTGATTCCGCTAATTGATTGTTTACGAGACCGAGCGGAAGTAAGTTTTAGTAGAGAAGGGCGCCGCCTTTGTGCTGAGGATTTAACATTTAGTGATGAAGACGAGGATGTTGTCCCGGTACTTCCAGGAGTAAGTTGTGACTGAGCAAATTGTGGTGTTTGTAGATTTTCATCAGTGGATTGATTTTTCTTGGATTTTTTTGATTTTGAGAATGAGGGTTTCGGTCGAAGATGAGTATTTATCGTTAAATCGGGTTTAGTACGTGATTGAGAACTTGTTGATGTAGCGGAATGTAAATCTAATGGTTCGGTAGTCACCGAAGTAGCAATAAGTGTTGTCGGTTTATTTCCTGATACTGGACCATTATTATTACCACCATTATTTGATATTGAACCATTACTATTATTGTTGTTATTATTATTGTCATTGCTATCCTCAAATACTCCGGATCTTCGATCACCAGGTTTCGTCATCATCCCGCTAGCAATATCATCGATATCACCAGCAGATAAACGTCTTATATCCGGACGTTGATTTCTCGCGTTAAAATAACTAGTGTCTTGATCGTCATTAGGCGACGGAACAAATGGAGCACGTTGATTTCGAATATTCTCCCAATTAATTCCATTGAAGAACGGATGTGCTTTTACTTCGGCGCCTGTCAAACGTTTTTCCGGTTCACGAGTCAAAAGTTTCGATATCAAGTCTCGAGCATTAGCTGACAATGTGTCTTCATCAGGCCACTGAATCTCATGTTGCAAAATGTTTTTGAAAATGGCTTCGGGCGACTCATCCATGAACGGTGGATATCCACACAAAAATTCAAATAAACATACTCCTAATGACCACCAATCTACCGCTGTTGTGTGTCCTATTCCAAGTAATAGCTCGGGGGCTAAATAATCCGGTGTTCCCAATAATGCTTTTGAACTTTGTCGATTTTGTCGTTTGGTAAGAATTTTTGACGAGCTATTTGATGATGAAGATGTGAGAACACTATTACTATCATTGTTCTTAGTGTTTGTATGATCTTTTTTCCCAGATTCATTTGGAAGAAAGTTCACATGTCCAGTCTTGTTTTTTGCGCCTTTATTACTATCATCAGTAAAAACCGCCGAAACAGGACGTGGATTGGTTGATGTTCGCGCATCAACACTTCCGCCACGGAAATTTATGGGGAAGGTTTTCTTATTATTGGTATTCGAGTTCTCCTCTTTCACAAAAGATTTTTCGAGGATGGTGATTCGCGATAATCCAAAATCTGTTAATTTTATATGACCCTCTGACGTTATTAACATATTATCTGGTTTCAAATCTCGGTGTGTTATCCCGTTAGAATGAAGATACTCCAACGCTAGTACTACTTCAGCTGTATACATTCGTGCCATCTCCTCGTCGAATGTGCCAAATACTTGTAATAAAGACGAAAGATCACCTCCGATGAGATATTCCATAACCTAAGGAGAGAAAAAAATATAATAATGTATAAATTAATTTGCATTATCCAAAATATACGAATTGACTATTCCTCGCATAATTAATATAAGCTAATTACCAGATACAAATAATCTTGGCTCTGAAATGCGTAATACAACTTGACAACGTAAGGTGTCTTCGATAAACTCAAAACCCTCCTTTCTGCTAGAACATGGTTCACCATATTCTTGCGAACCATATCAACTTTTTTCAAAATTTTAATGGCGTACAAGTCACCAGTAGTTTTTTTACGCGCCAAGTAAACTTTGCCAAATGCACCACGACTTATCGGTTTAATGATTTCAAAATCTTGAATGCTTGGGATTTTAGTTTTTGAGCCCTGCAAACAAAGAATTGTGTAAGAAAAAGGTTGAGAATGATATTCGAGTGATAGAATTATACAAAATAAAATTGTTACCATTTTATCACCAGTTGCAGACGATTGCACATTTCCACCATCTTTATTATTCAAAGAATTCATACTCGATGTTCTGCTATTTCCGCCTCTCAAAACAGCAGTAAACAGTGACATCAGCGTTTTACCGCCTTTTGATGGTGCTGGCGGTACATAATCAGAATCTAATTAAAATTAACATTAATATTAATAATCATTCCTAAATTCCATAACCCAATTAATTAAATGTCAAATCACCATATGCAGCACTCTTCATGCTCCCAGCACTATCTTGTCTCCTGTGGTGTCCTCCTAATCCGCCAAATAGATCTTTATTCATAGTTTCAGCATTCGAACCCCTTCTTCCCTGACTAAAATATCCCTTAGACGAAGATTGTGAAGCTGATGTGGATAGAATTTTAGTTTGCATCGACTGTTTTCTAGGTTTATCTTTCGACGGAAGACGAAGGTTTTGATAACTGTCTTTGTCACCTGATGTTGATAGAGGATAGGACGTGGGCGTTGTGACGGATGTACCTAAGCCTGAAGCTGCATTTTTTGAGCGGAGTTTTTCAAAATATGATCGAAGAGTTTCGCTTTTTTCTTGTACCTTTCGAGGGGGGAGATAAAAATTAACATCTTTCTTTTATTTCTCTTCGCATTATAACAATACATACAACATGCAACAATCGTTTTCCGTAAGTCAAAATTAGTTCATCCTTTGCCGTATTCTTTTCCATCTCATCAACCAAACGTGCTAATTTATTTGCATATTTCTCGCATTTACGTAACGCATCACGACGATTCGAGGTTTCCTTGATGTTTGCAGCTCTGTTATACATTTATAGTTAGATTAGTAAAAAATTCGGGTAATAGATAACGAAGGAAAATCAATAATACAAACTTTAAGCCGATATCTTCCATATTTTGTGCATCATTTACAATATAGTAGTCGCGATACGGTGTATTCCGTTCCTAAGGAAAAGCCAAAAAATCAGTTATACAAATTTTAACATGCCATTTTTTGAATCACACCAAAAAGAAAACAATACGAACCACTACCATTATCTCAGCTTTTCTCTTGGCCACATCACCGACCAATTTCTTTAATCGACCGTCACAATTCTGTAGCTGAATTGCATATTCAGTCGTAATCGCACAAGTCTCCGAATGCACATCCAATTCATGACTTGGGATCATTTCTTCACAAATCCTGCACAAAAAATAGTCATGTGGCATAGTAAACATACTAGGATTCGTGATATTCGATGTTGTGCTGAGTGAAAGTGAATGTGTGGTTGTATGATGTTGGGGATGATTAGGATACCGTGTATCTAATGCTCCAACACTAGCAGGGACTCCTCCTTTATCTTTGTCTTTTAACGAGAGAGCTGAAGAGCGACGAGAAAGCGAGAAAGCAGTCGAATCAAATGATAAGGAGCGAGTTTTTTCAAATGGACGTGTTGTTAAATGAGTATTTTTAACTAGATTATTGCCAGAATTGGTGGCCTGTCTGGTTGGTGAACCGATAGGTGAGGTATTTGAAGATGCATTTGGGCTGTGAAATGCATTTTTCAATGATTTGAAGAAATTAATTACTGGTCGTCCCTAAAGTTTCCACGCGAAATATTTATTTAGGTTAATAATTTAAAAATAATATCGTAATTCACAGTGTAAATACCCTCATTCTATTTTTTACTACTGATTTTTATTTATTAGCTTTGTCCGTGAAATGCAAGAGACCCCAGGTATTTTGCATTGCGAATTACGGTAATGTGTAAATTCAAAAAAAAAAATATTACCTTTTTCTTTGACTTTTTCAGTTCTGTTTCCCCATCTTTGTATTGTTTACGCAAGATGTCAAAATCAATTTCACGATTCATTTCTTCGTGCAAATACTGGTCAACCTCTTTTCGCATTAAACTATTCCACGTCATCAAATTATCATCCATACTAGGCCGTGGAGGCGGAACATACATTATAGGACTTTCAAAAATAGCTTCATTTGCAGAAGCGCGTCTTTGATCAAATTTCTGATTGTTAAAAGTTGCATTGCTATTTATTATCGGAGATGGAATCGACATATGGCGAGCGAGAGGTGACGAATAAGTTGGTGCAGGAGGGAGTAACGACGTGTATTTTTGACCATTGTTTGTTGTTGTAGACGTGGAAATTCCAGTTGGCGTTTCCACAATTTCTGAAGCTGACGATTTACGACGGACTTGGGTTGATGGCGAATAAAACGGAGGCGTGATTGGCGTTACGGGTAAAGATGGCGAGGGAAGAGGTGATGGGACGGAAGACCATTCTGACGTTGTAGTTGCGCCACCGTCATTTGCTCCATCACCTGATAATTCGTGGTTAGTTTCGGCAAAGGAATGATTCTATAATATATGAAAAGACGAAATTAATTAAAAAAGATCAATTAAATAACACAAACTTAGTTTAATTGACATTGAAATTAATCAACCACTTAAAAATATAACAGCCAAAAACTTACCAAAGCCTCAACTGCCCTTGTCACATCTGCAAACACATACACCAACTGCGTCAATAACTCCTCAGCATCAGCATTGCCCACAGCCATTTTTCGTTGTGATTCCATCAATTCTTGAAGTTCTTTCATGATCTCAACTGCCACGTTAGTGTGAATAAGATCATGAATTTGTGTTTTCAGAATGCGACGTGCTATTCTGTCAATCCTTGTTAAAAGAATAGTGTGTGATGAAGCTATAGAAAATGTATAAAGAAAGAAAAAATTTTGATATCATTTTTTCAATCACTAAATTTTATTAGTTGGCAATCTTGCTAATCTTCTTTTTAGCAATAGAATGATCCAAAATTAATTAATAATTTCTTTATTCATTTACCTAATACAGAAGGAGGCCAGCTATTTGAATGGACCATGCGTCTTTCAATACTTTTCTTTTGTCTTATAACATTTTTAAAAGTGGTCGACGAGCTAACAGTCGTGATGAAATTGGTGTCAATGTTATTGTTAGCCTCGCTAACGATTGGTGTTTTTGATAAACTAGCTAGAGCCAAGGCTTCTTCAGTAGGACCACTAATACTATTACTTCTACTGCTAGGAGCAGTATCTGCAATCAGTAGACTTTGAGGTCTTATCACGGTAACGCAAGAGGCTGATGTTGCGGATGAATTAGATTCAGAAGTTAATGTTCTTATATCCTTCCTAGAGAAACCTTCATCATCCGTATCACTAACCATTGGGTTATTTCCCATGTTGCTTAATGTTCGTTGACTATTATTACGTTTTATAACAATAGGTTCAGGTTTTTCATCATCATCACTCCAGCCATCATATAATAATTCGCTTATTTGCTCTTGATATTGATGTGATTGGTGCCAATTCTCCAGAATAGTCCGTATTTTACGATCAGCATGAGATTTTGCTTCTTCCAAATCTTTTAACAATTTTCCTTTCACCTTCGGAAAAGCGAAGTCAGGAGTACGCTCATCGATTATATGCAAATGGCTGACAAGATTCTCTTCAGCTTCTGCGGATAAATCCGGAAAGAAGCGATGTGTTGGACTCTTTTGGAATGAAGTTCGTCGTTTCATGGATGATGATGATGTGGTTGTTGTTGGAGGACGCGAAGATTGTTCGTCGTTAGTTATGTATGCATCAGAATCTGTTTCGATTGAATCAGTCTCTGAATCTGAATATGGAGAAGAATTACTGGAAGCATAATTTTCTGATTTTAAATTGAATAATCTCTTTAGTTGAGAATTTGCACCACTTGGACTACGTTGTAGTTGCGTGAGCGGAGGTTTCGCGGTAAACGTTAAACTACTGGAGTGTGTCAGAGGAGAGGAGGAAGGCGCAGAAGCAGGGAAAAGCATGGGATGTAATTGAATTTGTGATTGATTTTGTTTACCGGGAATATTTCGTGGACCACTTCCAGAAACTGAAACAGTATTATCGTGAGTGGCAGACGGAGAGGAAGGCGAGAGGATTGACGAGTTATGTGAATTTGATAATGAGATTGGTGATATTGCTTGTTGATTATTGCTGCTGCTACTACCACCAATTACATTGTATTTTGCGGAAAGCACGAATAATGAATGATGTCTATCACGCGAAAAAGCAAGATGGTTAGGTGGTAGAGAAGAGAAATGTGGTGAGTTTAGTGAGCTACTCGCTGATGTGACATTAGAATTTGTGGTAGAGAAGGGGGTTCCTGGTGTAGAGTAGTCATCGAAATCTTCGAAAGAACTACGTTGACTAGTATCACTTTCATTTGTGGTTGTAGAAGTGGATGGACTAGTTAAGTTATTTGTTGTGGTGGAAGAGGTGGAAGGAGAAGGTAGAGGCGGGGAAGTCTGGGGCGAAGGAAATAAGTTTGGGTATAAATTTGATTGTGTACGTGGTTTTAGTGCTAAACTTTTCTTTAATAGACTTTGACTCGACGAAGAAGTTGAGAGACTACGTCTTGTTCGTCTGGTGAACTTATTGTTTGTGAGATCGAGTTGATGTGCTGTAGGGGGAGGATTTAGTGATGAAATGTTTTGTGAGGTATTAACAGAAGAGGAGGTGACGGAGGAAGAGTTTTGATTTTTTTGTTGCCGAGTTGCTGGTAGTGATACTGGTGAAGTAGAAGCAGAAGTAGTAGACACTAAAGCAGCGGCTCCACCAACAGCAGCACCAACAATCGCAGTTATCGATATTGAAGAGGGTAAATTATTTATTGAAGAGGGTAAATTGTTCGGCGAAGAGTGTTCACCGGGTAAAGAACGAGAAGTAAAAGGCTTACTTGGTCGTTCTCCTTGCATATTTTGGTTCCTTGCGATAAGGAATCGAAAAGGTAAAAAGTAAGAGAGATAGTGAATATGTTTTTAGTAGTATATCTGTCTGTCGGTATGTTGGGAATTTTTCTTGGAGGTTATTGGTTGACAATATGTAGGTGTTATATATAAAAATATGTCGATGATAATTTTTTTTTGGCACTTGATGTTGATAAAAAAATTGATGGAAGATAATATTAATGCTCTTGACCTGTTTATACTACAGCTTTATTTTTTGTTATTGTTAATTTGAGTGAGCGAGAAAAAATGTTACCGTTACTATAAAATTTTGGTTTGAATAACGGTAATTAATAAACTGTTAATGAGTGATGGAAAACTGAGCCTCATACTTCAATATGGGTTGCTGTTCGCAGCTGCACTTGTATGCAAGCATGACGGGTGTTGATGATCATGCTGGGAGAATCACCACCATCATTATGTTACATATATTTTCTCACAAAGCGGAGGTAAAAAAAAAAACTTGTGTATGAGAAAACCGCTGATTAATAAGTCGAATAAAATATCTTACTGTTTCAAGAAGATAAATAATCTTGTGTTCGATTTTCTCTTTGCCTCTTTGACTACCAATTTCTTAATTTTTTCTTTCTTCTTGTACCTTTTTTTCATGCTTTGTTTGTTTGTTGTTGATTTTTGGATTTGCGTTTAACTTTATTTAGTTTGGAATAAAAAAGCTTATTGATTCAACAATAATGGGTGATATTTCCTTACCTTAACAATAGCGAGAGATATTAATGTTATTCCGGATTCTATCTTAATAAAGTAATTCCGTCAAAAATTAAAAAATTAGATATTCTATTAACGCTAATATAAGAAGTATATCTTTTATAAAGTATGGAAAATAGGGTAGATTAAAAATTTATTAATTATCGTTATCGTTATCGTTCCTTTTTCTCGTAAAATATAAGGGGATAAAATATAGGAAATATCATTATTATATACATGATTAAAGTGGTGACTGTGAGATTCGAACTCACGCCTCTTTCGAGACCGCAACTTGAGTGCGGCGCCTTAGACCAACTCGGCCAAATCACCATTTATTGTTAAAAATTTTGAAAATAAGTTTATTATTAACTTATCATAATGAATATATTGCGATTTTTGCTCAACTTTTTAATACGCGTTTTTATAAGAAACCGATAAATCCATCCAATATATCCATTCTTTGAATATTTTACATATTGTTATTTTTATTCAATACGAGAAATAATTACGTAGAAAAAAATTTACAAATACAAATATTATTTTCAAACCCTAATAATTATCCTTTTCCTCTCCCACCACCCCTTTCCTGCTGTTTAGTGCGTTCCAATTTCTCTTTATACCGTTTCCGCAACTCCTCTTTACTTTTTTCCGCATTGAATCCTTTCGTATTGATAATACCCGGATTTCGTCGTTCCTCCGTGATCAAACGTATCGAGTCATTTCTGAAACTGGAGTGTGCAGATTGCCGCGTTTTTTCTGCACATTTTTCAGAATGTGATTCTGGGAGACTGTTGAATCAAATGAGATTGCATATGTAATTATAAAAATTCTATGAATTCTAAATTGAAATATGTTATTGCATATTCACCGATGCGCTAAGCAGTATCGCATGTTACAGAATTGACATGTTATACTGGTGAGTGTTAAACGTTGTTTGCAATTTTTGATTGGGCAGGTTTGAAGTGTAGTATTACTATTATTACTGCTCACATTAGAGGGATTTGGCTCACTTGGATTATTATTTCAACAAAATTAATATATAATTAACATGTTACAAAAAATAAAAACAACGAAAAGGACCTCACATACTTTAAAATTCCTTCAACAATTTCATCAAGTTCGTCCTTTGTCATGTTATTGTTCATATTATTTTGATTATTACTTGTAGAGGCTTTAGGCTTTTTTTTCTTTTTTGACTTTTTTGAAGTGCTACTTTTTTCCTCGGGAGAAGCATTAGTGGTAATATCTTTGGAAGTTGTTGGTTTTGCATTTGAAGAGTCCTCATTTAAAGATTCCTCATTCAAAAAATGGTGCTCTTCTTGCTGCTGCGAGTTAACTTGTTTTTTTTCTGAATTAGACATTTGAAAAATTGTGATGTTTATTTCAAAGTCAACTGGTGAAGACTTTTTGTATTACATAATAGATGATCAAATCCAGCTATATCGATATCACTGATACCGATATCGATATGTATACCAGATAAGATCAAAATTTCACGACTCTTATTCCGAATGTTTCGTGTCGCGTTCACATCCTGGTTACACACACAAAAGTTAGGCGGGCACATCAGACAAACTTTAATGCATAAAAGTGTTGTGGCTTGTCGAACCAGCCTTTGCATTTAGAGACAATCTGCAAAAAAAAATTAGAAGATATCCAATTCTTTAGAAACTGAAAACTCGAAACTCGGAAACAAAGTTTAGTACAGCAACGCCTCTTCAGTTCTGCAAAGAGTTGTTTTATAGGACCTGGTGCATGTCCCCGTGAGGAAGAAAAATCACCTGCAACAATTACTGAATTATTATAAATATCCTTTTTATTTTCATTGATGCGTCGACACTGGATAACAAAGCCTTTTTCTTTCCAAGGTAATTGTCGAGTTTAGCCTGTCGAAACCTTTCAGCACCATAATAAGGGTGAAGCATATCGTAATTATGCAACACATATTGTAATGAACTTTGTTAAGCACAAAAGGAATAAAGCTATCAATTTCGTTATGGGGCAACAGAAACAAAAGCCGAGACGTAATTAGATAAGAGTTAAAAATAATTATTTTTCTTCAGCATATCTTTTTACAGTTTGTTTACAAACTTCACGGGTCTACAGTACAAAGTATGAATTTTTGTAAGAATTTTCACAAAAAGAGCATGGCTATGCTTCGAGATAAGGAATATAATGTAATTATAAAATTAAAATAGAATTGTTATATGCGATACAAAATGAGAATTTATCATTAATAGTATCAAAAGTTCAATAATGGTCTTTCAGTTAGATCCACAATACCGTAATACCGTAAGCATCTTTTGTTTATCGAAATACTAGCACCAAACTAGAGCGGTCTCAATACGACCTCGAACCCGTTCACCATATCTTTCAGTACAAAAAGTCTGTGCCTCCAAATTGCGATCTTATATATACTGTCTTTCTAACTAAAATCGTGATCAGCACGTTTTAATATATCGAATTTCAAATAGATTTCAACTTCAACATTTGTATAATACGATAAAGAAATGGAACTTGCCCAATTTGATTCTTTATTCATCAATTCTTTTATCCAGATCATTGATAAGATCATAAAAATCTTCATATAATAAATAGCGATAGCATTATTCTTGTAATATAAATGTCTGATATCGGGATATTGGCATTTAACAAAATTTAGTAAGATCATTACAATTCTATTGAAGAATTACATCCTTCTTTTGCAGACAACTATAGAATAATTCAATCACAGAAGATAAACGTAATCGTTTCTTTACTTCAGGTATTTGAAGCAAAAAAAATCTTACTAAGCAAACGTAAACGTCGTGGTAAATTTGTTGAGACATGATTCTGCAGTTCATGGAATAAGATTTAGCAGCAGATGCAAGGAAATCACCATATGTTCTCACTAAAGTCCAATTCCAATGCTGCGGTTTATATATTGCATATTCATTACGGATGGAATTGATCATTGTCTCTGCAGTATTTTGGTGGTGAATTGGAAGAATTACGGCTTGAAACACTCGTCGAATGTATTCTCCAAAAGATGTAGAAGTTTTGCTCCCTTCAAAGGTAATTTGGTTCTAACACTCTATTGTTT